TAAGTTTCCAAGAACGAAGGGAACGAGAATGCTATTCAAAGCTACACAACAGAAATTAGTCTTAAGTTTCCAAGAACGAAGGGAACGAGAATGCTATTCAAAGCTACACAACAGAAATTAGTCTTAAGTTTCCAAGAACGAAGGGAACGAGAATGCTATTCAAAGCTACACGACAGAAATTAGTCTTAAGTTTCCAAGAACAAAGGGAACGAGAATGCTATTCAAAGCTACACGACAGAAATTAGTCTTAAGTTTCCAAGAACGAAGGGAACGAGAATGCTATTCAAAATTGAAAAAATAAAAAATAAACCGTATAATATCACCAAAGTTAAAAACAAAACCAACAAACGTTTATTGGGTGACGTTACAAATAACGGCTCTTTGTCAGGTTTAAATTAGGCTTAACGAATAGCGTTTGTTCTAAACGTCATTTAGTAAACGTTTGTTTCGCCTTCTACTTTGGTCATCAGTTATCATCTTTTTTTTATAACTTTATGAACCAAGAACTGTTTCTAAGGTGTGTAAAACTTTAGTTCAGAGGGTATGATATTTTGGAGTAAAGCCAGGTTCGTTCCAGCCATATAAAGTATATGATAAATGTGAACATAGTCAAGAAATGTTTGACAAAAGATCAATTTTTATACAAAACTAGAATTAAAAAAAAAACGTAAACAATTTTTTTTAGTAAAAGCAACTTTTGGATATAAAAAGATTATATAAGGGTAAGGGGAGAACTGGAATCTTACTTAAAAACTACAGATACTGTTGGTCGCTAAAAACCCCCTCACGAAACTTACTTTTCGCTTCCTTCTTGCGTCTATGTGACGAAAGTAGGCTGTGATGTGGAAGTTATCAAACTGAATGTCTCTCAAATACGAGTTATTATAGCTTTTAGCTCTGTAAAGACAGAAATTTATAAACTGTAAACGATGTTAGAAATGTCATAACTTATTAATTTGTTGATTTTTTTTAGTGCAGGCTACACAATGGGCTATCTGTAATATGCCCACTGCGAGGAATCGAGACTCGAATTTTAGCAAAGTCCAGAAAAGTACTGCTGAACCACCGGGATGAGAATTCATTAGAAATTTGTTTATCTTAGTGGCTTGCTATAAAATGAGCTATCTGGAGTATATCAGGCGAATGGATTGAGCGCCAAATTTTGATGTTATAAACCACGAAGCTTACCATTGAGCCGTCAGGAGATAATTTGATAGCAAAAAGAATTAGAAGGTAATTGCCCATACTTAATTGTTACCATAACAAACTTAAGCAAACATATAAATACTGGTGTTTTACCACATGCTTTAAAAATTAAAAACAGCTAAAATGCGATAGAAAAAATGTACAATAAATTAAGTTTTGGTAGCTAACGATGTCACGTTAACGGTGGCAAAACGTGCTTTTATTGTAGATGTTTTTCTATCACATTTTAGGTGTTTTAGGTTTTTAAGCAAACGTGGTTAAGATATTTTTTTTACTCTTTCGTTAGTCTTTATTTTCTAGATTGAAGAAGTGATTGCGTTTAACGGTGATAAAAAATACCGCAACACGCGTTTAACGGTGATAAAAAATACCGCAACACGCGTTTAACGGCGATAAAAAATACCGCAACATGCGTTTAACGGCGATAAAAAATATCGCAACACGCGTTTAACGGCGATAAAAAATACCGCAACACGCGTTTAACGGTGATAAAAATACCGCAACACATGGGAACTTAAAATTACTATGTTAATGACTTTTTGATTAAGGTCAGTGTAGTACAACGAAGAAAGGACATCCTATATAATATGTACATACTATTTTATCATCCTTTTAAAGAACTTAGGGTCTATAAAACACTGATGATGAGCTTTTGATAGATTTATTTGTTGTTTAGCGCAAAGCTACACAATGGGCTATCTGTTATATGCCCACCACGAGTATCAAAACCCTATTTGCAGCACCACAAATCCTCAGACTAGCTGCTGAGCCACTGAAGACATCTTGGAAAAAATGAAAGCTAGTAGTGAAGAGAGAAAATTTATTATTTGTTCAACAATTTATTCAGGATTTTATTGAAAACTACCCGTTACTTAGCAACATCCTTGGATTAACATCAACGAATTTTTAGTGTAGTTGTTTCTATGTGTTTGTCATAAAAATATTTGGCACAGAAAACCACTGAGGTTTTTTGATTCTAATAAAACCGTGTCTCCCTCTCCACTTTTCGTATCTGATGTCACCTTCCTGCCTACAAAAATGTAGATATGTGCCCCAGTAGTTGGCCTAATGGATGGTAGCGGTATGTCTCAGTAGTTGGCCTAATGGATGGTAATGGTATGTCCCAGTAGTTGGCCTAATGGATGGTAATGGTATGTCCCAGTAGTGGGCCTAATGGGTGGTAACAGTATGCCCCAGTAGTTGGCCGAATGGATGGTAACAGTATGTCCCAGTAGTTGGTTTATTGGATGGCAATGATATGTCCAAGTAGTTGGCCTAATGGATGGTAATGGTATGTCCCAGTAGTGGGCCTAATGGATGATAACGGTATGTCCTAGTAGTTGGCATAATGGATGATAACGGTATGTCCTAGTAGTTGGCATAATAGATAATAATGGTATGTCCAGTAGTTGGCATAATGGATGATAACGGTATGTCCTAGTAGTTGGCATAATGGATGATAACGGTATATTCCAGTAGTTGGCCTAACGGATGGTAACGGTACGTCCCACTAGTTGGCCTAATGAGAGACAGAAAACAGCATTCATACGATCATGGAACCACGTTTTCTGGTAAGTTCTATTAAGTTATCTACGTGTGTAGTTCTCCAGGATTTCATCTTTAGAGAAGAAATACGCAAGTACACACATTGGTTTTTGTTGTTTATAATTAATAAATAATCTCACTATTAATTTCAAACGTCTCTTTATTTCTTTCTCACCTATATCAGTTATCAGACTCAGCTAACTGAGCAAATAATAAGTGAAGATGACCTTTGTAAAGTGACTAGTAAGTTTAAATCAAATGCCTGAGGAAATAATAAATTGTAATTCTTATAGATTACTTTTCATAGATCTAAGGCATTTTCTAGAAACTTCTATTTTATTCTTTCGAATCCTTTATTATCCCGTGATATACGTTTCAAATTGTCATTGGTACTGTTACGTCTCGGTTCGTTAATTAATTTTCCGCAAATTCGTTCCGACGAAACTTTAGCGGCACAAGTCCTTTCTTAAATAAAACAGGTTTATTCTTTCTGAATACAACTTTACGATACACATAATTTCAACAGTCGCTCTATAACAAACGTCTCACGTGCTCGAGTTCA